TATCAGATCGAAAAGAAAAGCTTGTAAATCCATGGTGAGAGTAATCAACAAAGTATCGTCTGAGTTAGCAATTTTCTTGGGAGGGATGGATATGTTGGATAACTAAGAAATTCGAAAGAAAAATTGTAACTAAAAATGATCAGCTTTTGACACAAGTCAATTTTTTCATTGAAAATTCATAAGTGAAAAATCCGAAACAGTCCAAATGGAAAAGTTCTTAGGATTATGCAATCAACTTTAGTCTATTACTGTTTTCATGCCATCTCTATGCATTTCTTTCTGAAGACGCGTGGTTGAATTGACATGAAAGATAATGTTAGAAAAAGGAAGAGAAGAATTTGTATTTTAAAACTTTTATTTTCTTTAAGACTTTAAAAATATTGATTCATACTTATTCAAAATATTTTCTTGGCTAACATTATCTCTCAATTTTTTAGGTTCTTTCTTACATCAATGGAACTATATCAACTTAACGGCAAGCATTTAGTAGTAACATTCAAACTAACATTGGCGAACAATTGGTCTTTTTTATACTTGTGGAATATTTCTTGCTGTAGGAGACTTTGCAATAGGTATACGAGTGGTTTGTTTTATTTCTTCTTTATTTTATTTTAACTTTAAAAGGATTTTTTATTGAATTTTAACAATTGTGTAGTTTTATTTTGATGGATCTAATGTTATCAACTAAAGATTTTTATCAATATGAGTGGATAGTTTTAAAAACTGAGCTTATTTGGAGTTCACTTTTTATATTTTAAGTTATGACTCTTATTTGACAAAAAATAAGTGCTACAGAGAATTATCATTCCATTTGACAGAAACAAGAGACATTTTGAATATTTCTTTTTGATTTACATAATTAATGAATAATGTAAAGGTTTGATAGGCACATTGATTAGTAGACCTTTCAAAAATACATTGTTTTTCACAATATTTTCTGTGTTTTATTTTAAATTTAATTTTTAAATATGTAATTAAAAAGATTAATTAGAATAACTTGTTAACTTTCAAATATAGATTTTTCACAATCAATATTCGAACTAGTGTTCATGATGTTTTTGGTTATTATTCAATTCAACTCTTACGTTATTTAGTTTTGATTTTCATACTAAAATCTGTATCAAGGTCTTCATTTTTTCTTGTAAACATATTGAGATTGATGATAATATATTGCATATTCTATTCTGTACTTTAATAAATGTAAATTTATGTTAATTTGTGGTTGATCATTTTTCTCTTCATGTAGATTTTCGATTAATATCTTCACAAATATTCATTAAACCACTGAATGTTACAGTTATGCATAAGATAAAAGTAACATAATCAATACCAGTAGATCAATCATAATTTCTAAGATCTTTAACAGTCCCAAGATTTTTTTGAGTATAAGGTTACTTAAAACAGAGAAGAAATTTGATTTCTCACCTTCTTATATGAAACAGTATCTTGTTCATTATGAATTTATGTTGCAATAAACTTAGTACACAAAAGATGATAACAGAGATATTTCGAATACGAAATACACAGTAAAGTGTGAATTTTGGGAAACAGAAAAAAGTTTAACCATTTAGAAAAAGAAAGCAACAAGCACAATCGAATTAATCTGCAAAGAAATTCTATCAAGATCTATTAAGTTTTTTTTCTACATAATGAATAACAGTACTAGTAAGTCCATATAAAATTCTAATAATTAACCTAAAAGGTATCAAGAGCTGTCGCTCGACCGTTAATTCAATGCTAAGTCTTACTCTCACATGTCAACAATCGCGACACGGTCTAGTAATTGGGACCAGATTTTGAGATGACCGACTATTCTCGAGATTATCACAACAGAAAATATGGATGCTGGATGAATCCGTGAAAGACTAGATAAATATTTCTTGTCAAAGGAAATCAATTTTCCGTGATATCTGTGAAAGTTTATATTGATAGTATAATACATAATACATGCTTCTCTGAGAACAAATTAAAATTACATATAGAAATAATGGTTATATTGTGTTCGCCCAAACTTTTAAGCTAGAGTATGTAAATATACGTTTCGATATTATCTTTTGAAAAATATCAAATAAAATAAAATAAAGAGATTATTGAAGTATGAATATCATTGATGCGTTTCTTAACATAAGATTTCAATTTTTTATCAAAATATTTATTCATTTTTTTTCATTTTACTAATTTTGACACATAAATTAGAACATAACTATAAAGACTTCTGTTAAAGTTAATGTTGTTTTTTTTTAAATTAACTTGAATTTACTTTTTGCAAAGAAATAGAATTTAATATATTATATGATCATTGATAAATACTACAAATACGGTGTTTCTTATTTCTTTTTCGAAATTCTCCATATAAAAGAATTGATGCGCTAATATTATAACAATAAAATTTTAGTTTGCTTGGATATGGATTGTTTTACTTATTTTGAGTGGCATTGGAGTTTTCTTAGGTCTTTTCCTTAGCGTGGCATTATTGGCTATATGTTCAATAGTTCTGGTAATAATAACAAAGATGATCTTATGTTTGCTGGATCAAAAGGAATCATTATTCTTGTTATTATACATATTGCTGTGTTTAGTCTTTCTGTAAGTATTTCATCGCGTTGATTTCCTTTGTTGGTGTACTTTTTGTACTTTTTAGATACTCACCATAGTACTTACTTTCAAATTGGCAAGACTTATCGATGCGGAAAAATCTTTAGTAATCCACAAAACTTAACTTTTAATTTTTTCAATATTCAAAATTTACTGAACAAAAATCTTTTTTTTTTCTTCATGTTCAAAGTTTATTTTCGTCAATCAAAATAAAATTTTTTATCGTCGTTCATATTTCTACTTGTGGTTTTCTCCAACATAGCGAAGTCTTATCTAACAAAAATAGGAAACAAAGAGAAAGCAAGAAAGGCAAAGATGAATTAAATTTATTGTTTAGAAAGTTCCATAAGTTTTAATACATAAAGAATATTCATGTAAAAAGTCTTTGATCGTTTACATGTTCCAAAAAAAGTATTTTTGACTTCCTTTTCATACAAGAGTTTTTTTAATACCTTCAAACTTATTGATTTATGAAAGTATCATTTTTTTGTGTGGATAGGAAGAGAAAACAACCTTGTTTATAGTGAAAGTGTTGTGATCGTGTCATAATAACTGATGATTAATCGTAGGTTATATGTTTTATGTATCTTGACGTAGAAAGCTGAAATTCTTTTTGTATTCAATATCTAATGAAGATCTCTAATTTGTGAAAGTTTCAATTCTCTAAGTACAACTCATAATGAAATATATTGGCAACAGAATATAGGATAGTTCTATCAGTATTCAATGAAAAAATCACAAAATATTCAGAAAATTTGCTTTTGTATTAGGCTTTGTAGAGCTTCTTTTACTGATCATTTCAGTACAAGATTTTTTCAAAGTTCATCAAGAAACGATCATGTCATAGAAAAAATGCTTATCATGAAAACTAGGGTATGGATGTGGATCTCATTCTTTCTTACTACACTTACAATCACACTCCATAATATAATGAATTAAATAAAAATAATCAAGATTGCGAAACTCATTTATCATAGAAGACATGTCACAAAAGTATTATTGTTATGTAGTTACTTTTATTCTCTGTCAATTATATTCATGCGCCATCTTTCCTTTAAACAGCGTTTCTTAGGGAATAATCATTCCTATGGCAAATGCTTTAGTAATGCAAGCAAGCAAACATTAAAAACGACATAAAAAATTTTTAAACGATTAAGTTTTTAATTTCTTCTAAAAATTTAAAATATGGTGAATATGTCAAGTAATTGTTTGGTATTTAGTTAGTAAGAATCAGATGCCCTAAACAGATATATTTGTTTTCAAAAGTGAGTCTTGAATGAAAAATCAGTGTTTAAGAAAAGCTAATTAAATCGTACACAGTTTCTTTTCATTAGCAACTCTTAATATATATAGTTAGCATATAGTTTTTGATTTCTCGTTTCAATATATTCGATACTCATTAACATCATCACTAATTAGTTGAGATGAATATTGAAGAAAACGAGTAATGAGAAATATTTCAATTATATTTATGTTTATTATATAACATATTCTTCTTTATCACAGATTAATTTTAACAATGGACTTTTTTGTTTATGTGCAAAAAGAAGAAATAATTTTCTTCATCCGAATATTCTTTTTTTTTGCACATATATAGAATGAAGAGTTTCATTTTGGAAAAGATAATTAGTCTTATTCTTGTGAGATCAAAATGTGAAACACAATGTAGTTGTTGTTGCTAATTAAATGAAATTTCTTCATTATCCTTTATTCAGTTCTCTAAAACTGCAAAAATAATATAGTTGATAAACTTTAATAACATTTTAGGAATATTTGGATTTATGATAATCTCTGGAAACTATCGATCATGATCTGTAGAGGCAAAGAGAAAGGATTCCCAATTTCTAACATAATATATTTCGAAATTTGTTTTAGAAACACTTTACATTTCTACAACATGTGTTTGTATCTATAATGAATGTATGCGAAAAGTTTGCACAATCAGCGTAACCTGTAAATGAATTTTACTACATTAATGTTGATATAAAGATATTAATGATATTGTTTATTTATTATCTATAAATCGAAAAGGTTTCTAACGTAGGAATTAACCTATATGTACCATTAACTTTTTAAGTTTTGTTTTTGTTTTGTATGAAGTGATTGTATGAGACTGATGAAGGCTTTTGTTGATTTTTAATGTTATAGAATAATTCATTATTTTCTTTCGTACATTTCTTCAATTTTTCAAATATAGAATCGTACAAAAATTATGCTCAATTTTACTAACAATGACCTTGAGAAATCTTGTGTTATTTTTTTGTGTCTCATCATCTCTTTCTTTTTATCAGTCATTGAAGTTCATTAGAAGATCAATTCAATAGTTATTTCTCTTTTTTTTTCATATTATATTACATTTTTTTTGAATCAATAAAAAGCAACATAATTGAAAATTATAGATAAAAATGAGTGAAGGTACAAAAACATGGGAACAACTGATTATTGATTATAGTAAAAAGAAGCCAAAATTCAAATCACGCACATGTAAAATCTATGATATTAATTCACCGTGTCCTGCCGATCGAGATAAATTATGTCTTTGTGATCGTATGATTCGACGCCATAGTTACACTGGTGATAGTTTACGAAGTCAGTCTTCAGAAAATGGTGATAATAAATGGGAATCTCCGAAAAATTTTGCCGTTTTAACTCATACTTGTCATGCACCTATTAATGTATATGGCACATTAAAACCTATCAATTGTAAATTTCTTCGAATAGATAATCGAGTTGAAATCAAAGACTTATTTGAATTGATTCTGGAGGATTGTAATAATCAAAAACCAGATCTTATATTAAGTATTTATGGAGGAGCGAAATATTTTTCTATGACAGAAAAACTTGAAAAAGAAGTTATAAGAGATCTTATTGATGCTGCATATGCAACGAGTAGATATTAGTATTTCAAAATATTATTATTATACTAATAGTTCTATTTAGATGCATGGATTCTTACTGCTGGTGTTAATAACGGTGTATCGAAATTAGTTGGCGAAGGTATTTCACATTATAGTATTTTACGAGCTTATCCGAATACAGTTAAATGTATTGGAATGACTATGTGGGGCACAATAGATGAAAATACACGTCTTGAACTTAGAACTGCAGCAAAAGTAAACAATGAGATTATTTATGAGAAATATAAAATGTGAAATATGTTTTTTATTTCTGAGAAAAACTTAAAGTCCCTATGTGAACGGCAAACTCCAGAAAATGTTCAAGATGATAAAGCGTCAATCGAAAAAAATCATACACATTGCATTTTATTTGATGGTGGTACATTAAATGATTATCTCAGCGACTCACATCGTCATAAATTTGTCACTGAAGCATGTCGAAATAAAGATGATAATCACACATGTATGTAATTGTTTAACCTTTTTGATTCCCTTCTGGAATCACTATTTTTCATCAAAAATTTCAATTTTGAGTGTTTAATGTGGTTGGATCGCCCTCATTGTCTTCTTTCGAAATCAAATGTGAATTCTAAAACTTCCATCGTTTTTCAATGGTTTTACTCAGAAGACTAGAGTCAAGAAAAACCGAGTTATTTTTTTGAAAATGTTAATCATTGAGATCTTTTTGAACTTTTACTTGAAAGTGAAAACCAAATGGTATACAAATACATACTCAAACTTTGATAATTGACGAAATAATGAACGACTTAATATTTTGAGATTAAAATTTGTATTGTAACCTACACAAATCCGGGCATATCCTATGCCCTGAAAGTTTCGAATACAAAACTTGTTCGGAGACAAAAAACAAATTTTTTGAATGTGGTTAGGGGCTAATTTAAGAATTCTCCTTTTATTTTTAATATTCAATGATTACATGTACATATATATATATATATATATATATATATATAGGTTATCCTGTAACAATCATCATCGAAGGAGGTTTAGGTAGCCTCGAAGTAATTAAAAATGATGTTGAACAAAAGCGACCAATTGTTTTGATTAAAGTTCGTAGTGTAAAATATTCACTTATACTTATTATATTGGAATCATCGAAATGTAGGGTAGTGGCCGTTTAGCCGATGTACTCGCTACACTCATCGAACAAGCATCAGATCCTGATCGAAGTCTAGTTTGGTAATATTGCTTAATCTTGTTGATATTTTTTTTTATTCAATATTTCTTCAATAGGGAACCGTCGAAAACAGATATCGAAAAAGTTTTTGAACGATTTTATTCTCATGCTCTCTACTCAGATATATCTTCAGATATAACACAAATTCAAACAATTTTAAAAGAAGAAAATCGCCATCTATTAAATGTTTTTAGCGCGGATCGTGACAAAAATGTAGCTGAAGCAATTTTCAATGCTATATCTGCTGGTATTGATTTTAATCCGTATATGTTCTCATTGATCAATATTTTACTATATCTTATAGCTCTGAAAAAGAAAAAGAAATCACAAGATAATCAGAAAAGAAAGGCAGAATCGCTAGAAGAAGAAAAACAACGTCGGAAAGACGAAGATAAACTTGTCGATTTAGCACTTAAATGGGATTATTTGAATGGCGTTTTACCAATATTGCATGCGAGACAAGGTGATTTGATAAAGAAAAGACAAGAGTTCCTACAGGTATAATTCTATTTTCTCTTTATTGCCTCAGAAAAATATTTCATACGAACTGACAATGCATCATAAATGATCACATTTTACATTTCAGTTTTCAATCACTCAATAATTTATATTTCAAAAAAGAAAGAAAAATACATGACGCAAGATGTAGCATAATAAGAACGACTGAATTGTATGTTTACTTTCACAATAGATAGAATTTTTCAAGTTCAGATTCCGATGGTATGAAAAATCATCATGTGTTGGTAGGCGATTAGAAATATGCCGAACCAACATTTTTTGATTTTACACATCTCTACGTGTGACAGATTCCTTTTCTGATTTCCTAAACACTGAATTTAGGATTATTTGTGATGTTATGTTTTCAAAAATCAGTGAACCATTAGAGAATAGATTCTTTACCAAAAATATGATCAAGTTTAAAATGCAAAAACTTTTATTCGAACTGTATTTTGCCTCTTTTTAAAAATCGAAAAGTGTGTCTATGAAACAGACTATCTATTATCAATTTTAGATTTTTTCCGCACTGCATCTTGTTTTTTTTAATACAATATCTCAAGTGATTAAAAAGTGTGGGTGTGGGTGTGGGCGTGGGTGTGGGTGTGCGTGCGGGTGTGGGTGTGGGTGAGGGTGTGGGTGGGGGTGTGGGTGTGGGTGTGCGTGCGGGTGTGGGTGTGAGTGAGGGTGTGGGTGGGGGCGCTTTTTCTGTCCACACAGAACCACACATCTACACCCACAGCCATGGGCACATCCACAGCCACAGCCACGCATCCACACCTACAGCCTCGCCCACGTTTTGAAACTCAATCAGAAAGGAATATTTCATAGTACGAAAAAACAGTCGAAAACAAACCGAAACCAACACATCACTCAGCATAAGAAAGCTAGTGAAAAGAGCGCACTCAAACATATGCGTATGACGTCATTCCTGTTTTTCTTTCTCTTTTTCCACCATGGTTACATTGAAATGCATCAATTCGTTTCTCTCAGAGTGTGTGACTGTCGATGCTTTGGGTATGTATGGATGGCTTGATACATTCCAATTTTCAACCCATACTAAATTTCTTAGATCATGAAAAACACCATTACAAAAGGGACCGAATTTGTCAAGGTTGTAGTGGGTCAACCATACAATTAATCTTCATATGAAGCCAACTTAACAATATAGTGCACAGCCGAAGAGTTTCGATTCCGTTTGTAGACACAATTGAGTTTTCCTTGAAGCCCATAGTGATACATACTTCACATATTTCTCGATGAACGCTACAGTGTTCCCATTCATTGATATCTCAGTCTACAGCAACACAACACCCAACAGTACACATTAAGTCCACACCCACAGCCACACCCGTACCATAAATATGAGTGATGCTGTGTGCGTTTCCCGCCGCACACTGATAGTTTCGTCGTGGGACATAACAGTTCAGGAATAGGTTTTGTGTTCGAGATCAGACTATTGAGCTTTGGAGTTTGGATTCGTAAGATAGATAGAAATAGTTGGGAACTTGAGTCATTGAAGTTGAAAGACAATCCAAATCCAAACTATTTTACAGCAAACATGATGACTTCCGAATTGTAGCATCTCTATAGTACGTTCTCTTTTAATGTCCTGTACAACTTGGCTCACTCAAGATTAAATCCAACTCCAATTCCGTACTCAAACGTAAGTATAGATTAAATCCAATGTATTTAATACTAAATCTCAACGTCTTGGGTTTTTTGCATCCCTACTACCATCTTAGCCAACAGAGATGGTAAACATGAGTATTATAATCAGCTAATTTATTATGATAGTGATATCTAGAGAGTCGATCACTTTGAATTGTGACTCGTTTTCGTTTATACATTCAGTCGGCGTTGTTGAAGTCACCGAACATACCGTGGACAAAAATGTTTTTTGGCGAAGAATTTTTTCAACAATGCTCGCATTTCGAGAGAACATTGTTGACAAAAGGACACCTATCCCTCCAGATCGGTCTATAATGGTATGTAATCGAAATATGAACTACACAACTGCTTTGAACAAATTTTATTTTCATTAGGGTCTGGGTGTGGGTGGGGGCGCGGATGTGGGTGCTTTTTCTATCCACACAGAACCTCACACCCACACCCACACCCACACCACACCCACACCCACACCCACACCCACACCCACACCCACACCCACACCCT